CTGTGGTTTAGAATCGGTATTGCTATCGCTGCACGTCGTTCTCGTTTTCCGCCATCAAAAGGGCATGATCTGCATAACATGAGATGATCAAGGAATAATGTCCCATGGTGTATCCGTCCTTGACTTCGTTAACGTTTTGAATTATTTTGTTCATAATCAGCTTGAATATCGTCTCTGCTGTTAAACCTGATACCTTCTCCGTTAGACCCCCTTTTGTCTTTATGCGTGTTTTATTGTTCGTATTTAGCTGTTCAATCACCTCAATGTAATTGTAATTTGTCCCGTGTTTTTGCAAAATTCACGTAACTTCCTTCTGCCGAACTCTGCCATATAATAATAAAAACTTATTGAGTAAAAGCCATAGACTTTTTCGATATCTTGTCGGACTATGGATATTGTGTTGATTGTAGATCTGTTTTATCTGAAACCAGTATGTTCCTCTCTAATCGTTATCCTCTTGGCGAGCTTTGTCATAATAATTTTTGTTAGTAGCTTGCTTGTTCTGTTTAATATAATTGTTCAATAGTTGTCAGATTCCTTTTTGTTTTCCTTTTTGAACACCGGTATTGTAACGCTGTTTCCATTCGTCCTGAACTCATATGGTTGATAGGATTCGGCGGATTAATGTGCACAAGGCTTTTTCCAGATCTGACCCTCCATACTTTAGCATTTCGTTAGCTATGTCATCGGCTCCTGTTGCTTTTCTCTTTTTCAGCTTGCTCACCTTTTCATCTACATCCTCCTGGGTTATGTCTTCTTCGACTACTTCAACCGACATGTGTTCTTGTTTTTCTTGGTCCTCTCGTTGTAAATCTTCCCCGTTATCCCGTTGACCACCATGTACGGTTCGCATATATGCTTACCATTCCTTGGGAGTTACGGAGTTGATTGTTGTTACCTCTTCATTGACTTCTTTCTTCCTATTTCTTAGTACATTCCATATCCTCTTCAGCCCTCTGTACAGGTCGTGTTCCATCTCCACTGCAAATCTCTCTCAATACGTTTCTATCAGATCCCGAATCTCCTCACCTTGTTTTTAGCGGTTTTGTACTTTTCGTACTCGTTAGTGGTTCCGCATGTTAATTTTGTAGGCACAAATTGGCTTTTCCCCATTCGTGTTCACCTTCCTGGTTCCGAGTGCTTCTTTTGCACTTTCGGTTATGCTTGACCTAATCTTATTCCATATAGCGTTTGAATCATCGTTTTGTGTAATTGGGTACAGAAGTAGCTTTTCCCTTAGTCTATTCTGATGTAATATCTTGGTTGAGTCCTCCATGATTGGGTCCTTTTTTTTTAGATGTTGGGCTGAAATCGGTAAAATATTCTTTTATCCAGAATCTGGCTTGGTTGAACTTCCGTACTGGTTATGATATCGCTTGTAGAGCTATAATTGCAGGTATTATCAAAAGTAAACTTGTGCTGCTCTTTATGATCAAAAAACGTATTGATCCTTAGCTCATTTTGGGCGCATGTGCTTATCAGCATTTATCCGTTGTCGTTGATGACGTGTTCATTTAAGCATTGCATTACACCTGGGACAGGGTATTTCCTATCCTAGAAATAAAATCACCCATAATTAACGTTTTTGATTTTCTCGGGAGTCCGTTCTTATAAGGAGACAGAATCTTGGTATGGTGTTATTATTATTATTATTATTATTGCTGCCGGGCTGAGGAGAGCGGCCCCTCTCGTTATCGCGACCTATAAGATGTGTTGTAACTTTAGCCCTCCAAAGGTTTAGGGCAAATCTAGGTCCTTAATGAACCTTAGTATTGTCCTGAGGTCTTGAACCTTTATGTCAGAAGGCAACAGGGGAGTTTTACCGAAGATGTTGTATCTTAGACGACCTCTGGCGACGCAATTGCACAGTATATGTTCAGCAGTTTCTGACTCGTCGTTGCATAGTCGACAAGTTTGATCCTCAACTTGTCCAATGTAGAAGAGGTGGTATTTTAGGGGCGCATGGCCGGTCAGGTAGTCTGAGAGCGTTCTTAGATCTCCTTTGCTAAGGCATAAAACCTCTTTGGTTTTGTTTTGCGACGGAGTTATCATACTCTTCGCTTGTCTGTGACCTGGAAGTTCTTTCCAGCGTAAGGCTATCTTTGAAACCTCCCAGTTGTTGATTATTTGTTTTAGGTGGCTTTTTTGTAGTCCACATCCAGGTTGGGGTCCAATGAAGGGCGTGTTTGCTGCCTCTTTGGCCAGCTTGTCGGTCTTCTCATTGCTATCAATGTTGCTGTGACCTGGAACCCACCATAGGGTAACATCATTGCCCCTAGCCAGTTCTCTCAGGTTGTTGGTACACTCTCTGATCAGTGCAGAGTCACACGTGTAGGCCTGAATTGCCTTTAAGGCGGCCCGACTGTCTGTGAAAATGTTTATGGATGCATCTTTTTGTCCCTTCTGTAGGTTCAAAGCGGTGCAGAAGTTTATAGCAAGAACTTCTGCTTGGAAAATTGTTAAGTCCGAGCTGAGGGGCAATTTGATGTGGCTATTTGGTCCACTGATGCCCATGCCTACTCCAGATCTTACTGTCTTTGAAGCATCGGTGTACCAGACTAGGGCTCTTCTTTTTGGTATGGTGTTGGCAAGGCGACTACGTAATTTAAGCCTTTAGAGAGTACTGCAGTTTCGTCCTCTGTTAATGTGAGGCTTGATTGGTTGATGAGAACCGTTTCGATTAAAAAATCGTTGTTCTCCTTTTTGTGGGTGCGGCGGTCCAACGATTTAATTTCATTGATATTGAATAATTTGCTTGTCACGACCTTTTTGAACACTTGAAGCCGTCTTTTCCCATCTTTCCTACAGTTTTTCTGTCGGTCTCATTCCTTGCATTTTTCTGTTTATTAGTATTCTAGAAGTCTCTTTTCTTTCATCTGCAAAACATGACCTGTCTATTGTAGTCTCTGAATTCTGATATAATTGGATTTTATATATTCTAATTTTAATGTTGCGGTGTATTGTTCTTGACTTGAATATGTTTGTCAGTGCAAAATGTACTGTGTTAGCTAACAAATATGTTAGCTAACACAGTACTCCTTCGAATCTCAGCTTATCCTCCACCAAGGCTTGTTAGCTCTACTCCCAGGTATTTATATACTTTTAGAGGCTTGATGTGGTCCATCGTAATCTTGTTAGTCTTGGCTTTGCTTATTAATTCTTACTACTTATTCTAAACACTTACTTACTTATTCTTACTCTTCTTCTTAATCCTACTAGTTTAACAGCTTCTTAGATTCTGTCGAATATTTTCTCCACATCTTTCATTGTTCTACTCATAATGTTGACATCATCCGCATACGTAATCAATGGAATGGTTTTATTGGTCAGTAGATTGAATCTTCCTATTTTAATTTTTCTTATTCAGGAACGAGACTATATAATGTTGGAGGCAGCCCATTTACTTGTTTCAACCCTTGTGTGATCACATATGCTCCGATTAGATGATTTTTTTACGGACACAAGCCTCTGTACTTGTTAATTTAGCTTTTATTAATCTTATTAAAGTTTCATAACAATTTTTATTCCAATCCTTTATTAATTAAAAAATTTAAATCTTCAGGGATCCGTTTTAGGGATTTTCCATAAACTGTTTTTTAATCATTTTATCGCCTACATCCCCTACTTTACGGACGCACTCTATATATGAATATTGTGCATATTGGGATTTGTACGTGTTTTTAAATATTATTCGTTTTATTCATTTAGTTATACTTCATCGTTGCAGACCTAACATTAAAATTTGCAATTTAACATTTAAACACCTCGGGGTTCATATTCCATTCTGCAATCAAGCCCGCCCGATCAATTCTGTTTGATTTATAATTTCAGTTAATAATTTACCATATATTATAGTAAATCCGGAAATGCACCGATTATGTTTACAATAAGTTTTTGCATATAAATCGGATTTTCTTCCAATACCATTGTAATAATATAATGCTAATGTAAAATTATCATTAATACTTAGCATATTGCATTAATAATAATAAACATCAATCTTTCACCGAAATAAAATGAAAAATAAATCGGTTTTGTATAACATAGTACGATTCTATTTTTAGTATACGATCACCAAAATGTTGAGGAAAAGCTTTAAACACGTAAGATCCTTAGGCCAAGGAGAGTGATGAGTTTCGAGAGCTCGACAGCCATTCAACGTTATCTGAACACTGTAAAGAGTTGTCATCGTTATACGACTTGAAAGTTTTACGTGAACGTCGTTGTCATTTCGCGTAGTTTATGGGTGTCACGTGACTAAGGTGGAAATTCGTTAAGACCACGACGAGGACGCCAACAGCGACAAAGATGCCAGGAAGACATTTTGAACCGTCAAGGCCTCACGTGGGCCCTTTATGAATAAATATAATAAAATTTTCAGCCCACCCGCTGAAATTTATTCATAATAACTATGGCACCGAAGGGAGTAAGCGATGCATGTTGTGGCTATGGCGGTTCTATGTTCCAGGATAATATAGAAAGATAATAATTCGCGTAATAATATTCAAAAATCATTCTAATAATAAGATAATTTTTATATTATTCAATTAATTTCTGAATAACATGAAACAAAATTTATTTATTATTTATTGTTTATCAATGCAAGTCTAGGTATTTAGGAGAAATATTGTGATGTATAATAGAACGACTAATTATCCAAAATATTTTCGTAATTTGGATGTAATTTAACACAAATATTCGTCGAATTCTAATTTAAAATGATATTTAACAAATAATAACTGATGCACCCAATTCATTCATTTATTTTGTTGCTATTATTTCCGTGCTGTAAATAATTTTCATTCCAAAAATAATTAAAGCGGCAAATATAATATTATATATCTGCCCTTAGAATACCTACATATTTATGAAACCCCGCAGTGATGAATTGTAAATATTCATGTAACGCAAAATAGAACAAGAATAAAATTTTAAATAAATTAAATATATTTCGCATGACTTGAAGCACGTAGTTCTGAGCAAAATTACCTTAAAATTAGGTCTTTTCCTTTTTCCAGGACTGGACCCTACAGATCAAATACGTCCAGGCAAGGGATGCTGGTGTTTACGAATGTCAAGTATCATCACACCCGCCCACCAATATTTTCATTCAGCTGAACGTAGTCGGTAAGCAACAATTCTATGATCCTATCTAATTGTGTTTCGAGTACGAATTCCCATTAATTACCATAATCACTAAACGGTACTAAGGATACGTGAACCCTGTCATTGAGGGTACTCCCTTGAAATTGCTTATTACAGTGTACTAGAGACGTTTAATCTACGCAATTACGTAGATACTGCCTTGTTTAGTAATAATGGACAACTAAATTATGTATTTTTATTTTTATTAATCTTTTATGGTTTTGAAAAAGATATTTTCAATATATTTTTTTCCTTGTTACTTATTGTGTAAAGCCATATGGTACCAAATCTTATTTTTTACACTTAAATATTTTGATGTTACAAAACTGAAACTATCTAAGCTACATTTACACAAATAAGACATATATATACAACAGTTAACTTCATAAAGCTTGACATAATGACTTTTAGTCAGTTTTTTCTACGTCCTTTGTTGGTCACATGCAGTTCTCCTCATAGAAGCTTATATGTTCTCCAAGAATATACTGCTGGAGTTTATTAACGTCCTCCACTATATTTTGAATTAAACAGACACAATAACCTAATAATAAGAGGAAGAAATATATATGAGATAGGAGAGGCTGATATAACGAAAGAAATGAAAGGACTTGGAATGTGCGGGGCATAAGAGGCAAAGAAAATGAACTGATAGAGGAGTCTCGCCCAAATGGATATGTTTGGTGTAAGAGAGATAAAAATCAAAGAGTATACAGAAATAACTGGAGGATATATTATGATATATAGTGAGGTGGTCTAGAACGAAAGAGCGGGAGGGGGAGTAGCTTATATAATAAACCAAAAACAACAAATAAAATACAGAAATGAGAACGGATGTCCAAACAAATTCCCACTGCGACTATAGAAGATGAAGCTCAGATGTTGTGGTATACGCGCCAAGTGAAAATGAATAATTATCATAGTCAGCGACTTCAATAGCAGAGTTGGAAAAAGAGTTAGCATATATGACATGATATGACACACAATGATATGCACATGTATTCGAGAGGTGAACCATGTAGAAAAGACAATTCCATAATTGATTGTGTTTTGGTGCGGAGAGAGGAAAGAAAAGGTGTAATGGACACTGAAGTAAGAAGAATATCCGAAATAAATAACAATCATTACTTGGTGGTATCAAAAAAAATTTATCCTTTATAAAGGAACCAAACTATGAACAAAATCGATCAAAAAGGAATCAACATGAAAGGATAAAAGAAATAAACTAACAGAACAAGAGAAAGCTAAGAGTTATGAACAAGCAATAACAAATAAATTGGAAACAAAGGTAAACCCAGAAGAGAAAATATGTCGAATCGTAGCAAAAGAGATTTGTGGAACATACAAAAAAAGTTGTAACAAACGACAAAAGAAATTAACAAGCAAAACAGGAGGTAATGCTAACATAGGAAGAAGAGATAATAGAAAGATGGAAATGTTACTTCCAAAAAAGTTCTGGAAGTGGAAAAAAGTTCTTGAAAACAAAAATAAATAATAAAGATTTCGGAAAAAATATGGAAATAAGAGACACTGGAATAAAAGAATGGTTTGAGGTTGTAATAAACTGTTTGCTAAGGAATTTAACAAGGTATGGAGAGAAGATACAATACCGACAGATTGGCAAAAAGGATGCTTACTGCAATTACATAAAAGAGGAGACAATAAAGAAAGCTAAAACTAAGAGGAATAACTCTATTAAATACTGTACTAAAACTTTGCGAACATATACCGGAACATATATATTATCCAAATCACGAACTGTAAACAAGAAAGGAAGAGGTAGTCAGGACCATGTATTTAATTTAAGACAGCTGGCAAGAAAAATGCACACACAAGGCAAAAACTAGTATAAAATAAATTATTGAGGATGATTAAGTGTTTATAAGAACATCACAAATTACATAATAAGTAATGACAGATAATCGAATAAATATATGACTTACAAAGGATTACGTCTGGGAAAAACACTAATTCTGGAATTGTTCACGGTGTTTATTGACGATATTATACAGGAATATCACTAAAACACCAGAAAAATGCTTATAGATCCCCGAAACTTGCAAAAAGTGTATATGAGATAATGTGCATTTGCGAATGATGTAGAGGTGCTGGAATCTACAATATAACTTTATGATTTGAAATAACACATTGAAGAAATATTAAATTAAATTAAATATTAAAAAATCGAAAGTTGTGTGTATAACATCAGAGGAAAGTGAAATAAGCATAACAACTGAAGACCGCAAAAAAAACAAAACTAAAAGTTTTCAAAACGGCATTTAGACCTGTATTGACTTTTGGATGTGAGTCTTGTTCGTTATAGAACATCGAGAAAAGTAAGATTTAAGCTACGGAGATGAAGTATTTGAGGCGAGTCCTAGGACTAAGCAGAATTGATAAAATAAAAAGCAATGAGATTAGGCAAAAATTAAATACTGTGCCAGTGTTAAAACACATGGAAGAAAAACAGCTTACAGGGTGGGGACACGTTCCAAGAATGCCTTTAGATCGGTACATAAAGAAAGGCTGTGATACAAAACCGGGAACACGACTGGGGAGAGGGAGACCAAGAAGGAGGTGGTTACTGGGTTATTACTGGAAAGGAACTTGGAAAAACTTGGTATGAAACAAGGAAGATGGCCGGAAACAAAAAAGACTGGAGAAATTTTGTTAGAATAGTGTAAATCCCTATACCTACGATATAATATATACGGATAATATATATAATCCCTATACACTTTTAAAATTGCAGCTTGAACTAGCTTCAACCAACATTTTTACATACTCTGTAGTTGTGAATTGATGATGAGTTCGTTCGTTATCAAGAGTCTCTTTATAACGCTAAAATTACAATCGCAGGGAAGAAATGAGTGACCTTATTAGGTAGAATTAGATAATTTTATCAGCTCATCCTGAAGAAAGCAGCGTCATGAGGTATCGGACAACATTATTCCGGCTTTGTCCTCCAGTCCCATCAGAAAATAAATACAACACTTTTGCTGCTTAGTGAAGTCTTAGTGACGAGGACTAGATATAATGGTGATGTATTGCAGTGATGCGGCTGTAACAGAAATTCAAACTAGCGATGGACTTAAATATGTAAACTTTTGAGAGGTTATTAGAACACATTCTGACTATAGAGCAGATACTAGCAAAAAGTACTAACGCCATCTTCACAAAAACCATTACATTTTGTGCACTTTTTGCGCTTTAACATAACAGCTCCTCAAATAATGAATAAATATTTTGAAATTATTTTTACAAAAAAATTAAAACTTAGAAAGTAGAAGATTTTGTTTGAGATTAAAAATTTCACATTTTGCACGTAACCACGAGGCAATCACTTCAAAACGAGGAATGATACAGAATTTGTAAGGTAGTTTACGGTTCAGGATAGATGTATTAACGTGAAGTTAAAAGTTAAGCCATTAAACGTGTACATACGTTGAAAGTGGCAAGAACAGTAGAGGTGCGGTGGTTTAAATGAGTAGAAGCACAAGGAAACAAATCATACCGTCATTTGTTGCTTAATGTTGAGAAATAGTTGGAATTACTTGTAATTTCTTGATATAGTTTCCGTTTAGTAAAAAAAGAAAATTAAATTTAAATTCCTTATATTTTAATTTCCATTTATTTCCATACGAATTTATTTATTTTTTTTTCTTTTTAAACGGAAATGTGGCTCTCTTCGGAAATCTCTTTCAAATCGAAACAACGAGTTATGTGTTGAATTATGTGTATAAGAATATAGAGGAAAATCTGATTGATATACAACTTATTTTATAATTTTCAAAAATAGGAGAACCGTGAATTTTATAGTTTTTTTGTGGTTAAAAAATCCGTCTTTTATTGATGAATTTTCATTAATTCATTTAATCGACGATTCACTTACAATAACTTTGATATCTTATAATATTTTTTTCGTAGGCTCAAGAAATTTAAAAATATATAACAAAGAAGAAATAAATAAAAAGAAAAGCTTCCTAACGAATCTAAACGATTGTAACTAAAAGATTGAATCTTGACCATCTGTCTAACCCAATATACGATATTGTTCTGAAAACTCCACGGAAAAGTATGAGAAACCCTAATATCCTCTTATAAATAAGCCGGGCAGTGATCTCCTATTGTGTCAGCAAATTTTTTCCCTCATATCTAGAAATATTGGTCAAGCTTTTAGCGAAATATAAACCCCCTAATATATGTTTTATTTCTTAGTAGTCAAGATGAAAGCGATTTCCTTTGATATTCCGAGCTCAATTCTTTTTCACTTTATATAGTAACTCTTTCATTTCTGTGTATCTAAAATTCAAAGCGATCCAACTTTTTATTCGAAAGCCCATCGGCAATCCGCGGATGTAAACTAGCGTGGTATTGAATATTTTGATTTATTTCTGCTGGATTTCATGCTAGTTTTCCGTGATATATTGTGCGAACGCTGTCAAATCAGGCATAATCCATCGATTTACCGATCAATGTCCGCTCACGGATATGGAGGTAACCCACATCGTAAATAAATTATAACAATTATTTTTGTTGATATCATTGTATGTTGTTGATATAATGTGTAGTTTTAATGTGAGATAGATAACTTTTAATTAAAACCAGGGTATTTCATCCTGAAATAATTTCTAACTTACCCAAAGCTGTAAGATACAGCAATTATACAAAGTTAGGTGCTGGGGTCAGGAACTTTCCAGCAACACAACAGACAAGCGGCGTCTGGTTAACTCGACGTGGTGTGTACGTCCATTTCCATTCTACGGCTTTTCCATCCCCTGGGAGAAACTGGCGTATCGTGTAATGGTCTTAAAGCTATTAACTCTGATGGAGTTTGGCTAAAAAGTCTTTACGTAGGTGTTGCTTACTTAGTTTTAGTGGGTTTCAACTTTTGTTAGCTCACAATAACTTATTGGCAAAATTCACAAATCATTTTAAATTAGAAAATATTTTAGATATTTAGTTATTAACTAGAAATTATGGAT